ATATTAAATATTTTTACCACCTCAACTATTCATCAAAGATTTGGAAGAAAGTCAAACTAAATAGTTTCTTGGTTCAATAAAGTACATAAAACTAAAAAACTTTTGCTGTAGAAATATTCCGATAATTGCTGAAATTTGTTTTACAGGCTGGCATGACAAAACTGCCCAAAAAAAGATGAATGAATAGATTTATCATGTTACAAATGATTAAAGTTACCTAATATGTTTTGAAAGAAATGTTACAACCTACTATAGATGAATATCAAATATTTCTTAGGTAAAAACATCTCTTCAGTACATTTATTTTTCAGATACAAATTAGTTTTTATTCATGAGTAAATAGCTTAAATTTAAATTGTTGCCACTAAAGGCTATCAGCTGAACAAGATTAACACAAATTTTTTTACTATTCCTAACAAAATAACATTTCATTAAACTGTGTGGTGATTAGTGACCGTTAATCGATGATTATTCAGAAATCGTGAGATGTGGTCTGGTGTGACATAGGTTTTAGAAAAACATTTTCTTTATCGTGCCAACGTTTCGATCTTTATTGAGATCATCTTCAGGGCTCAAAGTTTTTGTTTTCTGTTTTTGTTTCTCAACACGACACGCAAAATTGGCACAATTACACACAAAACAAACATGTTGAGCACTGAAGATGATCTCAATAAAGATCAAAACGTTGGCAAGACAAAGAAAATATTTTTCTGAAACCTACATCACACTAGACCGCATCTCGCGATTTCTGAATAATCATTTCATTATACTATTTTATTACTTATATAAAAGGTTTGTTTATCACACAAAAAGAACTATACGTTTAAGTTTATTCGGTTTGTAAAACGCATCAGGAATTCTAGAAATCAAACCTTTACTTGAACTTATATACAATTTACGACATTTAAAATGATTATGGATTATTATTTATTAAATGACATGGAAATATAGAATTTTGATTTTTAAAACAATTTCAATGTATATGGTCTCAATTATATAGCGGTCTTGGACTGGAAATGAATAAAAGAAAATAATCGTTTTATGTCTATGAAAGGTTTAATTTTTTGAAGGACAAAATAAACCAAGCCTTGTAAATCACCTTTTAAAAATGATTATTTCCCCTAAGACATTAAAAATTAGACTTTTGTGTTGATAAAATGAAATGATGCAGTGATTGTACTGAGCCCAGAGCCCTTAAGAATCTCATTTTGAAATAATTGTGTCCTTTACTCCGGGCGGTATTTTTTCTCTAAGATTAGAGAAAATAAACGCTTTGTACACACTTTCCGCAAGGCGACGAATCGTTAAAAATAACGAACGCTCTTTAAAGCCATTATGGAGTGAAATGTCCTATTCTTCCATTCCAGGGATCGTTTTAGGGTAAATAGAGTAAGCGTGGGAAAAAAGAAGATCCATTGGATGGACCAATACTTTTTGCAGGAAAACTCCTAATATTTGTTTCTTTTTTTAACAACATCTAGTACAAATTATAAAACAATGTACCATTCTTAGAAATATTAAATGTGGGATGGGTATGCAGATTTACTTTTTGTAAATGACTGATCCATTCCATTTCCATCACGATTGAAACCAGCGTAGCGTTATTTTTAGCAATGAGAAAACATTAGTAAGTAAAGTTTGAGATGAAGAAAAGTGAAATTTATATTGATCCACGAATTTTTTTTTAGTTTCAGTTTAACCATTGTTTTGTTCAACTAAATTAGAATTATTTAGAAAATTCTAATTTTCTATCTTTTATCTTTAATCACTAAATTATAATTAATTTCTTACAGTATTTACTACTATAATATTTATTTGTGTTATAATTCCCGCTTTTCGCACGTTCAAATTGAGCGCCATTAAAAAACTTTTGCAATTCATGTCGAGAGACGTGGTTGTAGAAGTCCATCAACCTGATGATGAGCTAAAGGGCTCGAAATCCGGATCGTTGCAAAACAACTTACTGTGAGTAGGAACTATCTTTTTAAAAAGGATTGAACACCACACTCACTCCATCATTTATCATTTCTATTTATCATTTCTATCATTTTCATAATGGTTTATTTTTTAACTTTAAAAACAAAAGTTGGTTTGTTAAAAATAATCAGGAAGATTATCTGATAATTTATAGATATTAAAAAAATATTAAATAATATATTAATAAAGGTGCGATTAAAACAGCGTTACAGAAACACAATGTTATTGGGAGATTTTTTTCCAATTTATTAGTATTGAAATTATAGCAGAAATGGTTTGAGGTGGAGTGAGAGCATTTCAATTCACGTTTCGGAAAAGATAGTTCTACTTACATAAGTTTCAGGCAGCTTTTCGGACAGTTGTTAAAAACTTTTTATACTTAAAACTATCTATGATAATTTAATAGAAATAGAGTTATATAAAAAACAAACTCCATGAATCCAGGAGTTTCTTATCATCCATGGGCGCATAAAGCTGCTGGATTCATTTGGCTCATAGCCATTATATTGACTCCGTTGATTATAATGTTATATTAACTATATTATTATAAATAATTATCAATAATTATTTATCAATAGGTTGTTAGTAAAAATTACAAAACAATTAACTTTAAAAAAGCAATAATGAGACCATTCACCCGATCATAAATGAATCATAAGGTTCTCTTGCTTATCATTCATTTAGAAACTTTTAGATGTGCGTATTCACTTAGAAACATACTCTCTAAACCTAAAAACAAGGTGGACAACTGATCAAAAAGCAAGTTTTACGAATTTTCATCTTACAAACGTCAAATATAGATCGGCAGGGAAATTACCAAAGTTAAGGAACCCTTGTCTAAATTGAACAAATTTTCTGAATTTAAAGACCATTGAAACGAAACAAAGCACAATTTCAATTTCAATTTAAATATAACAGGGCTACACAGTATCAACAAAGGGAGGAAACTAGACTGGTTTAAAATATTTAAAATAAAAATTGTAAAATTATCACCCGACCGCATCTCACGATATCTGAATGACTATCGATTAACGGTCACTAATCTCTACACATGTAAAATTAAACATGGAGGTAAATGCACAATAGATTTTGATTTTCTCCAATTTTAATGTTGTACTTAAATAATAATCAACATCCAAATAATTCTTAAATTAAACTTATTTGAATCTTATCTTTAGCCTGATAATTAATACTTAGTACTCAAAAGATGTATAGCTGCCTCAAACTTTTGTGAATAGAAATATATTTTCCAAAAGTAAAAATAAAATCATTAGGTTAATTAATAGTTAAATAAAATTAAATGAAAACACTTTCTTTTCTTTTTGATGATCACAATGATCATTCTTTTAACCTGAAAGCCGAAAGAATATTTTATTTTCTTCAAAATATTTTTTTGCTTCGCATTTAAATCAAGCAAATAGAATAGAGGGAGAACTTTTTTATTAATATTCCAAATCATAGATCATTCTTTTTACCTGAAAGCCTAAAGAATATTTATTTTTTTCAAAACATTTTTTTCTGCGGATTTAAATCAAGAAAACAGAATAGAGGGAGAATTTTTCTATTAAAATTTCAAACAGTATATCATTGTTTTAATCTGAAAGTCTAAAGAATTTTTTTTTAAGCATTTTTTTCCTTCGCCTGTGAATCAGTCAAATAGAATAGAGCGAGATCTTTTCTGTTAATATTCCAAACCGTATATCATTCTTTTAATCCGAAAGCCTAAAGAATATTTTACTGTTTTCAAAACATTTTTTGCTTCGTCTTTAAATCAAGAAAATAGAATAGAGGGAGAATTTAGAAATTAATATTCCAAATCATAGATCATTCTTTTAACCTGAAAGCCTGAAGAATATTTTATTGTTTTCAAAACATTTTTTGCTTCGCCTTTAAATCAAGAAAATAGAATAGAGGGAGAACTTTTCTATTAATATTCTGAACCGTAGATATTTCTTTTAACGTCAAAGCCTAAAGAATATTTTATTGTTTTCAATACTTATTTTTGTTTCTAAATCAAGAAAATATAATAGAGCGAGGTCTTTTCTATTAAGATTCCAAACCGTAAATTGACAATTTATTGTTTATTTTTAGCCTCTTGGCCATCAACAATTTCAATTAAGGTGTATTTCGGCTCCTGTCTAATAAAGTAATTTAAGAGCGCGTGGCAAGTCGATAGGTTGAATTAAGTTATGTCGGTCAAATGAGGAGGGAGGAGGGTGAAAGAGTTATCGGCCAATACCACCGGGGTGCTTCTAAAAGAATTGTCCTCTTATTAAGTGAAGGACCGCTATAAATTGGCTTAGATGTCCCTGGAAGCCAATATTAGTAGAGACATAATTAAATACTCCAAGCCTTGCGCTTAAAATACTATCTACTTTTGCGAAAGAATGCTACTTACAGCCGAATAACGCCGTTGTTACTTTAAACTGGAAAATCAAAATTGTTTAAAAGTACAGCACACTTTTGGTTATGTTAATATAGATAATGCTTTTACACTGGTATTACCTCAAATTTTTTTAAAGTTTAAAAACTTATTAAGTATTTTTGAGTATGCATAATGAGAAGACCCGTTTTGCTGATGATATCGGTCAAATATAAATAAATTTATGTACAATTACTGATTGTTAAAATGGAAAATATGTAATTAATGAATGTATATAGATACTTTTTCTCTAGTTAAAAGGCTAATACAAAGGCTAAACAACAAAATTATTACAAATGTAAGACAACTGAACAGATTTTTGCCCACTAAAGGAAGAGTAATTATAAAATGACAATAATTTTAAAAAAATTGGAATTTAAAGAAATGCCCGATTTAAAAAAAAAATGCTCCACGTTTTTATCTGGATGTATAAATGCCGCTTACCGCACGTCTCCATTTGTTTTCATTCTTGGCTGAAGGATGCGACGCCGTTAGCGAGTTTAATTCACCAGGGAGTGGAAATTTTTCCCCACTGCGAGAGAAACCACCCGGCCGAGGGAATAAGGTTTAATCTAATTTAATCATGCGAAACTGTTTCCAGGAAGTAAACAAGACAAGGCGGCTGATGGATATAGCCCGCCTTTAGTCCGGATCACGCTAGCTTCAATGGACGAATGCCACACCCTTTTACAAAATGGGCTGGACTTTTATGGGGCAACCTATTTTCCTACGGAGCCGGGTCCAAACAACGCACTTCTTAAAGTAGTGAGAAAGACTTCTACTCCAGTGTATACAAGGTATTACATAAATAATTCATAATATTATTCCTAATGTGTGGTTCGGTATTAATTTGAAAACTTCAACTTAGGTAAGATCGCGCGAGCGTGCGTGCGTGTGTTTGTGCATGATTGTGTAACATTTAATGACGGTTAATTAACGATTATTTAAAGATAGGAAGATGCGGTCGGGTGTGATATAGGTTTAAAAAAACATTTTCTTTATGGTGCCAACGTTTCGACCTTTAATGAGATCATCTTCAGGGCCTGGGACCTGGGATTTGTATATATGAAGAATGTTCGGCTACTCGTGTTACAAACTTTGCCAGTAGAATCTACATTCAAAAAATCCTAATTAACTATGGTCCTAATTTCAACCGTTTCGGAGTTATTTCACTTTTTCTGATTTTTAAAGATTTCACGACCTTCCTTCAAATAAACAATGATAACTCCGAAACTAAAAGGTGTTGGACAATTTCGTCGACCATTGAAAACTACGTTAAAATTCCAATTGGACGTGATCAATACGAATCTAGTAAACGTTCGGAAAATAAGGGACTTAGTAGCGAGAACTTTGAAAAATAATTGTCTCTTTTTCAATGTTGAAAAACATACTATGATGATTCTAAACTACTATTTCCATACCTAGAGACCAGCAAATATCAGTAAACGTACTCCATTTAATATCTTTTTCAGTGATGCCATTGCTTTTTTAATTACTTTTTTCACAGGTGGTGAAGGAAACGAAAAAACCGTGGTTGAAGGATTGGTAAGGTGGAAAGATTAATAATAATAAAAAATAAAAAATTTCTCTAAGTTTCTTGGTTTGGTAATGCAGTTTAGAATCACCATAGTAAGTTTTTCTTTGAAAAAAATATTTTTCAAATTTCTCGCTACTCAAACACTTACTTCCCGAATGTTTAAAAGTTTAGTATTGATCAAATCTTATTGGAAATTTAACTTAGTTTTCAGTAATATCAACGGATTTGTCGTCTAAAACGTTTTCATTTTGGAGTTATAATTGTTTACTTGAAGCAAGGTCGTGAAATTCTAAAAAAATCAGAAAAAGTGGAATAACTCCGACACTGCTGAGATTCGGACCTAAATTATTTAGGACTTTTTTATATCTATCAAAAACACGTTTATAACAATGGTTCGACACTGCTGCATTAACGGATACTTAACTAACAACTATTAGGCATAGCCATGGGTAGTAACATATGCCACCTATTTTGTAGACATAATTATGACTAATTATCTTTTAAAAACAGTTATACCACAACTTCCTTTCACATTACCCTTCCTCACCCTCACTAAATACATACATAACATATTGTCAGCAATTCCCACTGACATCCAAAATGGAGATTGATATCAAAAACTAAGAAATACAGTCCCTACCTCAACTTACATCACACCATTCCCTTCATCCAATAATAAACCGGCCAAATTATTACTCCATAAAATTATTACCTTTGGTCATGAATCGTTTCACCCCAAGATATACAAATATATCTAACATAACAATCACTACCCTACAAACATAATCAACAGAATAATCAACAACTACTAATCAACACTAACATCATCTACTATCACTAATAACACTACATCACTTCTACCAAAACAGACAAACTAACAAACATATCCATTCCATTCGTTCACGGCCTATTACATAAAATAAACAATTTTCTCTCTTTTGATAACCTTAAAGTTACATTCAAAAACTATAAAACTATTCATACTCTTTTTTCAAAAATTAAATATCTCACACCAGTAATAAATAAGTCTGATGTAATTTACAAAATCAATTATATTAATTGTCCGGCAACTTACATCGGAATTATCCCAATATGTAGATAAGTAGGTAAAATAACATAACTATGATTGCAAAAAACCTAAATAAAATCCTACAGCACTTGCTACCCACCCACATCTTTTGAACACCAACACAATTTCGACTTTAACAATCCAAAAATATTACACACAGAACAAAACAAACATAAACGTAACTTTTTAGAAATGGTTTACGTCAACAGGGATAACAATTACAGAACAGACACATGTAAAATCAATCGCAGCTACGCTAGTATCATTAATCAAATTCAATATCATACATATATCATCATCACATCACACAAAGCGTATAACATATAAAACAATCGTTACATTCCACACATAAAACATTTCTACATAGTTTAAATCTTCGAAAATTTATCTCTTCTTTCCCTAATAAACACGGCTATAACAATCCTGAAGTACTAACCAGGCCCGAACGACAAATCATTACCTTTTTTCCATTCTCGGTCTTTTGCATCACAAAAAGTTCCTCATAGGAAAATGAATTTCTATCCCTACCTCCTTCTTTACTAACACGACACACAACAGTGACACAACACAGAAAACACACACTTTGAGTGGGCACAAATAATTTAATTAAACCTAAAATTTCTATATTGTGTACATAATTGTATAAATTGATACTAATATCTTATACGTATTTGTACTATTTAAACAATATTTTTAAATCCCAAGTCTTTATCTCAATAAAGATCGAAACTTTGGCGCCGGAAAGAAAATGTTTTTCTAACCTACATCACACTTGACCTCGTCTCTCGATCTTTAATAACTATTAGTTAAGAACAATAAAAAATAGAGAATGCTTTTGATACAAGTAGGTAAGAGCATAAGTGTGAATGTTACTATATTATTAAATTCACTAATTTCGTGGTCCGCTTGACCAATTAACTTACTATTATTATTACAGCTTTTTACAGAAAATTATATATTTATTAGAAGAACAATTAATTTTGTCCATCAAAACTATGGGATCCAAATACAACAATATTTGTAACTTTCTTCACGTTTTCTACAGATTATCCCTTGACAGGACTTCAATTTTCAGGACTTTTTTCTGTAAAAACATAAACGAATAAAATGAATTGTATAAAATAAATTGTACTACAACGTCCTTATTGTTCTAAGTATGATTTTAAATTTTTCTATATATTTAACTATTCAAGTATCGTACTTCAACCTTTCAAACATTATTTCATAAACATACTGTATCTCATACAATGTTAATCCTAACGTAAATTTCATTACTCCAATGGAAAAAGTATTAAAAACCACATGAGATTAATTTTTTAAACCTTTGCCAACAATATACAAAATCACTTAGAAGGGAAACTAAAAGATTTTTAAAATTATTGTTTAAAGTTTTTTATAACGTTTATTTTTTACGTACAGCTCCAAATATTGTATTACATAAATATTTTCGATTTATTTACTGATTGTGTCGTTTGAGACAGCCGTAGGAGGATTGCCCAGTGACAACATTTCTTCACACTGAAACCTCGTCATTAATCACTCACTGAGACGGTATCGAAGCCACATTCGCTTCAATCGTCTTGGAAAATTTTCTGATAAGGTGGGAAGTGTTAGTTGTCGTACTAGTCAATAATTGTTTAAGATTAAATTTTTTATAATGGGTTTTGATGAGGTCATGTACAAATGGGATGTGAAATACGAATAGTATGATTTGTTACAAAAAAAACGAGCATTTATAATTTGACGAAGAATTTTTGATTAGAGAGAAATGGGGAATTGGAATTCTAGGTTGTCAACGCCAAAAGTAGTCTTATCATTGTAAATTAAACGTTTCTTTTCAATTTATAATGTTGATCGTGAAACAATTAGTCTTTTTAATAATTTCTAACGTCTGTTTGTTTTTTGACTTATCAGTATTGCGTGGGGGATTCCAGCTCAGTCGTTAATATGTGAAAAATCAGTGTGGTAAGAATGGGATTCCATTTAGGCTAACGGGAACAGAAACTTTTCACAAGATTAAATTTATCTGATTTTCGCTATATTTATTTTCAGTATTAATTTTGGAAACCTTACTACAAAACTTAGGAGGGGTCTGAAATACATGTTATAATCGCCATATCATTAGCGAATGCAGTATGCATTGAAAATAGAAATGGGCCAAATATGTTTCCCTGAGGAACACCAGCCCTAAGGTTTGTACAAAGTGACAATTCAGCACCATGACAGATAAGATAAGATCTCAATGTGAGATACTGCTTATTAAAGACACCCCAGCAATGCTGTTTTTGTTAAAAAAAAAAAAGGCGATATTGTCAGAAACGCGAAATTGCGCGGCGAGTGAATGTGCGGAATCCAAACTGACGATAATTTTTATTTATAGACAATAAAATTTGAAAATAAGATTAGAAGTTTTAGTTTAAAAGTTTATTGGGACAATAACCTTCTACAAATTAAGTTTAATGATCAAAATGTCCATTTTTAAGTATGAAATCCTTATATCTTTTTTTATAAATGATTTTTTTTAGATTTAGATTTTTTCTTAGTTTCTCGTATGTAGTCTTTTAAACCGGACGATATTTTGTCTTTATTTTATATTACTATAATAATTTTTTTGCAAGTTAAATATTAATAACTTTTTTTTGTTGAAAATCCGTCCGAAAAAATCAATTGTTTAGCAATTAAACGCTAAATTTTTTATTGGTGATGATGACCTTTGTAAAATTAAGTAGATTTGTTTACTCCTCACAAGTGAGAGCAAATTGTTTGTATATATGCTATATGTACACATCCAAGGATATCTTAATGAAACTTTAGAAACGCTTAAAATTATATTTTCTACGTGAATATGTAGATTGTTTGTTTAAGGTTAAAATAAATAAAAAAATAAACACTTTTTGTTTCAGTGTTATTTCCATTAGTCTAATGTTAGTAGTTAGATTAACATTTTAGGAAATACGGGAGAATTTATTGAATAAAGTTGGGTAAGATTTAATTAAACTGAATAGTGAAACATCTCAAATACAATTGAGAGTGAAATTTTGAATAATAGAGACTTTATAGATTAATTTGTCATGTACAATAACCATCGTAAATGTTGACGTTTGTATGCGGCTCACCATGTATAATATACATTTAAGCAGTTAACAACATATTGGTGAGATTGAATATATGATAGAAGTTGGTATATATATTTCTAATGTTTGAAATTAAGAAAATGCCAAAACTAAGATGACAACGAAAAATTTACCATTAACCATTATGATTAATTCATTGCTCTTACTTTGTTCAACAATAATTTGTAATTTGGTCGTTATCGATCATTTTGCCTTAGTATTCACGCAGACCACAAGGAGATATTTGGCAAATTGCGCCAAAATTAATTAAATCTAAATAAGACAATTAACTCGAAGTAATTACACTAATTGGATAATTAAGATTCATAATAATTAAAATTATAATAAAACAACATGTTTTTATTTAGAAACAAAAATACTAACATCATATTGGCATATGTTTATAATAATAAAGTGCTAATATCATTACAATAAATTTTTGTTTATAATTATATTGAAATGCAATGTTTAAACATGAAAAAGGTTAATTATAATCAGTTTGATTTTAATAGCATCTCAATCAACAATAAATAGTTATTCTATAGCTGTTATCTAATTCATGTGCCAAATTTCTCAGCAGGTTAATTTTTTCTATATAAAGAAATACAGATATCCTCTAAATCCAGCATTCTTACTTCTTAGTTAAAACTAGATTTTATAAATATAAATTTTTATAAACATTTACACTTAAAAGCATTGCAAAATATATGAGTATAAATTGAATGTAATGTAACGTATGGGAAATTTAACATACAGTCTTTAAAGTTAGATGTATCGACCACTTTATTTTACTCAAGAATAATCACGATCCCGCTATGGTCTGGATGAACGAATAAAGTTCAATTCTTATCTGCCAAGCTTTCGACCTATTTGAAGGTCATCATCAGACAAATCATTGAAGATGTCTACAAATTTATATAATTAAGTTTTTAATATATTTCTTTTAAAAAAACTCATTCCACCATTGCCTGAATACCCGGCTTTATAAATTTAGGAGTTTATATACCATTTAATTATATTATATTGTATTATATATATATATATATATATATATACTCAGGAGTGTATGTAAACGCTGTAAATATTGAATATTCCAATTTTCAAATTATTTCCAATCCTAATTTAAAATCGACGATAGGAGACGAGAAATCGAAAGCGATAGTATCAGCACCAACCAGGAGCGGACAATCGTTTTTAATTATACCATAATTCACGTTGGGCCCTGAGCAAGCAATAAAATTCTCAATTCAGGTCATGTATTTCCATCCGACACGTTAATTAGAAAATCGTGATTAAATAAATTGTAAAATTCTTTTAATATGCACGTAAAAGATTTAAATATGCATTCGAAACTCTTTGATTGGAGAAGAGATTGTTAAAAATATTTTTACAACTTTTGTGTAGTATTATTATTTATTTATTTTGTTTTTTGGGCATCCGACAGCTTGGTCATTTCAGCCCCTAGCGCATGAAAAATATTACAACACGCATCCAATTCACACAAATAAATACATTCACACCTTTATACATTGCATTAATTCTATCTAAAAGATGGTGGATCAATATTCCTCCATCAACCTGCATACAATAGCAAACCAATCTAATTGGGGTCGATGGGGTACTTTTATAAGTTTTCTGACATCGACCACAGCACGAGGAGCGAGGGGGTGCTATTTCACCATCACCCCCTACACATTCTATCGGCTATAAACAATAAAAAAATTCCCAATTCCCCTAAAAAGCGGAACCCTGAAACTCTCCATCGTGTTTGAGTTCCAATCTTAAATCCGGCGGCATGCCGACACGCTCTCTATATGGAGCCAAGATATGACACCCCTCTTTTATGTGGGTCACATCGAGCAACTTTTTTCTGCATAATTGGCATCTGTGTTATTATTTCTTTTTTTTACGAGGATTCACAACAGCAGAAGCCATATCAACCATCGGGGTGCCGGTGTTTTTGAAAAAAAAAGTCCATTTGTAAGTCAGTCGGGTTCGAATGCAAGGCCGCTGGATTCGAACCCGGACCTTTACCTTACAGTGATGAGCGCTGTATCAACGCCTAAACAGTTGCGGCTAGCGACTCTCCTATTATTATTTATTATTATTATTACTATAATAATGGAAGGAACCTACTTGAAATATGGTTCCAGAAAAAAACGACAGCCCTCTTTTATGACCCTTGGCATAGGTGAAGGAATTTATTTGATATACCGTTGTTATGCGGAGGTCAGAAAAATAACATTATTATTACTATCATGACAGAAAATCTAAGAAAATCTATTCTACATATCACTGTAATTGTAAAACAAAAAATTCCCGATTGATATATAACAAATTTAAGAAAAATAACTTAAGCATGCACAATCTTATATTATTTATAAGTTAGTTGTAAATACACAAAATTTGTTTTGAACAAGCAAAATATAAAAGTATTTAGAGCTTAACAACTAAAAAAATATTTATTTTTAAACGTTAAAAAAATAAATTATTATTTTCAATTATTATTTTGTAAAACAATTGTATAGAGGAATTATAAAAAACACCCATGAAATGAAAAATTATTGTATTTATTGAGAAATAGACGCTCAAAAGGTTTATGTTTTTGGAGAAAACGTTTTGAAATGGGTCAATAGTTTGGGGTAAGTAGAGGGAAGATATGACGTGGGTAGTTGGGGCGCCAGTTTGTGTTTACCCATCGGCGCCCAGGATCTGGGCCCTCTCAAGGTCTATCATTAGCTCCCATCAACAGTCGGTTAACTAATGGAACCAGATTAACTTTCCAATACCTCCCCGCCAAACCATCCACAAACATATTGGCCTGATTAGCGCGTTTTACTTGTTTGAACGGCCATGGTGCCGGGTTTACTGCCGGCGCTGGAACCGACTTGAAATATGGTTCCTAAAAAAAAAAAAAGACAGTCCACTTTTACGACCCTTGGCATTGGTGAGGGAATTTATTTGATCTACCCTTGTTAGGCGGAGATCAGTAAAAAAAATAAATGAGGCATCAATCAAAGAAATCACTATTATGTTATAAAGTCGGTTTATTTGAAAAATAATACCATTATTATTATTATTATGTACAGTTGAGATCAATAAAAGATCCAGCCACACAGTTAAATTACAATAATCTAAGAGGTAACTTTCCTTATTTTGTGCTAAAAAGTATTTTTTAATACACACAATTATTACAAAGATAAAAAATAATGTTTGTTTTGTTCTTATTACCCGTCCTTCTTGTTTATTCTATCATTTAACTGTTCAACGCTTTACATATGAAAGTATTATAAACTGCCCCAAATTAACCAAGCCTTGTGATCTGAACATAAAAATGCGTGAAAAGACCGCATGATTTACCATTAGAAGTACTGGACAAAAAAAAACACAATATTGTTAATAAATATTATATGATTATGAGCTATATAACGATGGCCTTATTTATTTTGGTGTGTTAAATTATTAAAGCCAAATAAGCTTAATTTTCGTTTTTTGAATAAACCTTTTATTTTGTAAATATGACATAAAAAATTAAGAAAATATTACCTTTTTTTATTTAATGATGTACAATTTTTCAGTAAAAATTATTCATTGATTATAAAACTGAAAATATAGTCAATTTAAAGATGTGCCGCTGTTATTTCTAGCAGTGAAATATATAATTAAATTATTAATTAATACCTAATTGTCAAGTCTATCAAATTAGGACATAAATTGTGTTGGTGACTTAATTACCTCGTTTGTTTCTGTAAAACGTTTGTAATTTATTCATTTGTTAGGCTACATTTCAATTCAAGATCAATATATCTAATAAACGCAAATCAAAAAAATAAAAGGGAGAATAATGTGGGAAATAATTGTGATAGCTGCAGTGTCCTTAGTATATTTTTTTGTATTCAATTGTTGACGTTAGACAGTCTCGGAATCAACGTTGATTACCCAATCCAAATACTGACTGAAAATCGCGTGGTGCTGGAACGCGTATGAGTGAATCGGAAGCAAGCGAGGAAAGACGGACCCAGAAAAATGATAAGTATCCGTCAGTTCAACATGAAAATTCCAGAACCAGTGATGGTGATGAATAAGGATAATTTAAGGTCAACAAACTGTACAAATTAAAGTTATCTTCAAGCTTTCGACATGGATAATGTTGTCAACCGCCTGAAATGTTTATATAGAATTATAATTTTTTTTTGTAAATTTGTTCAACAATTTATATACCATCTTATCGTCTTCATCATCATCATCGTCTTTATGCTATGGGTCGATTATTCATTATCCAAAGTTTCGGAAACAGTTTTTGTTTCCTAGGTATTTGTATACTGTGGTCGATCTTCTCGCCAAAATTGAGTTGCTGTTTTTATTTCCCTGCGTAATACTTAAGTTTCTTTATTTTATTTGTTAACCTTTAGCTTTAATTTGTTAAATTAACTTTATATTAGTTAACTTTTTTATATTTCATATTATTTAATCAGAAAATATATGTCTTTAATAACTTTATATATTGTATACGTAATAAACTAACTGTAATTTTTTCTGAAACTTTTTGTGTCTAATTAAACGATATCGAACAGCCTTTATATGGTGGCTATAATAAATTTCAATTGTTGCAGTCGACTTTGGGAGACTGGTGGGAAAGTTAGAGATTTACTACCTGTTTTTGATGCTGCCGGTTTCACCAAGATCCCTCCCCCACCAAGTAAGACAATTAAGCCGAGAAATTAGCCACAACTCTGCCGACTGAGAATGTGAACTTTCCCCTGGATTAAGAAAGTATAAGATTAATATCAGGCTCCGACAGCCTTCCAACTAACATTTTTTCAGCTTGTGTTTAGGGGTTCCTTGGATTAACTACCCCTCACTTTTTACATCTTTAATTAAATAATTGTGTTCAAAAGGATTTAACTTGAATAAAATATATATCACGATAATAAATTTGTTAACGTAATAACCTACTAAAAGGCAACCTCTTATTACATTATGCATTCAACGTTCCTAATATTTATAATAATAAAAATTATTTTTATAAATACTGTAACTAATTTGTTAATTAAAAAATAAATTATTAGAAGTTCAATTTTGGTGTTTTTGTTATTCCTATAACACAAATATCTTAAAAACATAGAGAATATATTATTTTTCTTTGACTTTAATCGTACGCTTTTAACTTACAGGACTGTTGCTTGTTCTCACAACGACAAACACAATAGTAAACTAATCCTGCGTGTAAAGCAATTCACATGAAATGTTTGAAGTGAAAAATTTCTATGGACAATTTTCCAGGGAAAAAATTCTCCAATTATTTAGGAATGTTGAAAATAAAAAAACAATGGATTGATTATGATATATTCCGAACATTACATTTGTTGTCTTATACTACATAAAATAATATCACCAAACATAAAATAATATACAGTGTGAGTTTTTTTTATAAAACACACGGTCATTTATTTTATGATGGCTCATTTATTGTACAACTTTCTAAGCTTTCCAAAGTAATGTTTTACGTCAAATTTGATGGCACTATTAGAATTTTAAGAAGATTGTGGGTTAAGCTGACCTGCTGATCAACTTTGTTTTTCAAATGTATTGCTATATTATTACCACAGTTATTTATTGTCTGTTGCATAATAAAAAAAATATATAAAAAGCTCTAAATTCAACCATTTTTTGTGGAGATATTGAAATTTTCTTTTGGAACTCGATAATTTCAACTTACTGTGTAACTAATTAAATAGATGAAAATAGAAATTTAATTTAAAAAAGTGTGAAAATTTAACATGAGTTGACATTTTTACAACCTACCTTAAACAACAACATTCGCGGATACAATGAATTAAAAGTATCGAGGTCTGAAGATAAACTTCTATATCTCTAGAAAAATGGATATAGTTTTGAAATTACGGTATCATTTTTGTAGAATGCAAGAAACGTTAAACATTTGCAGAAAAAAATTAATTATTTATTAACAAAAATTGTCCTGAAGAGAAATGTTCTAATTGGATTCTAATGTAAGGATTTTTTTTTCACATAAAATTAAAATATTTTGCATTCTAAAAAATTACCAGCAACTCAAAATTTTCTCATTTGTTCTCAGACGTTAAAGTTTTTCTTCGGAACTCAATCAACTATGGTGAAATTGGTTAAGCAAAAAGAGAAAGTGTGGTGATTAGTGGCCGTTACTCGGAAATCGTGAGATCCTGTCTTGTGTGATGTAGGTTTCAGAAAAACATTTTCTTTATCATTACAATTAATTAAGGTTTTTAGTTGAGATGAAAAAAAGGCAAAAAATTGAAAAATGGCAAAAAGGAGGGAAAACTCACAAGGTGGGGTTGAGATAGGAAGTTGATGTCCGAGTGGATCGAGGTCACGATAGCTCAAGTGGTAGAGCAGCGGCGTATCTATCCGAAGATCGTGGGTTCGAATCCCGCTCGTGCCATTAACTTTTTTTCATCTCAACTAAAAACCTTAATTAATTGTAATGATTTAATTGGTCAAGCGGACCACGAAATTAGTGAATTTTCTTTATCGTGACAAAGTTTCGATCTTTATTAAGATCATCCTCAGGGCCTGGGATTTACAAACATTGTACAAATTTAACAAATCCATGTAGGATGTGGTTAAAAGTTAATTTATACAATGCAAAAAATATTTTTTATATTCAATCAAAAGATTTAGAAATACTTCTTTCCACATCCTACATGTATTCGTTAAATTTAAACAACGTTGGTAAATCCCAGGCCGTGAAGATGATCTCATTAAAGATCGAAACGTTTTCACGATAAAGAAAATGTTTTTTCGAAACCTACATCACACTATATCTCATCTCCCGATTTCCGAATAATCAAATGGAGAATAATGAACATTTATTTACAGAAAATACGGAATTTTAATTTGTAAGTTTTTTAAATAAATATGAATAATTGAATTGAATAATTTTGAGTTTTATAATGGAAGGGATTTTCAAAGTTAGTGAAAAATAATGTATTACATTTTTTTTAAATTGATTAGTTTGATAAGGACGATTAATTGCCAACTTATTACAGTTTTAATAGTACCGGTCGATTCTTCATGAAAAATTATATTTGGAAACATGATAAGTGTTAAAATAAAATAGGGACTGTACAAGCAAAAGGCCATATCTTTCATAAAAACTCACGTTGTATATTGAAGCAATGTACAAACCTGATCTATACATATTTTCAATGTGAAAGCATAACAGAAGAACACATCTAGTTTTTTAAAATATTTTATAGATTTATCGTACCTATTTACAATATAAAAAGTAATGATAAAAAATCTTTGCCTACGGTAAGTTCTAATTAAAAGAAGAAAGTTCATTTCAAAAGGTTAGTTATATAAATAATAATTAATAAAACTAATTCTCTTTCTCCAATGGATTCAATCATCCCAGGGGTAATTGCAATGTAAATTAGAGTAGTAAATGTGATTGTGGCCATCGGTTAAATCGCATTAACCAAATGAGAGCCTGGTGTTTTGGTGAGAGAAAGAGCAAGACCCTAGCGTGCCTCCTCTAATTGAGAAGGGAACAGCACGCAGAGGAGCGTTAATATCGTTATTACTTATCCTTAAATTAATGTCCTTTAATTGAAGAAACGCGCTTCTATTTTCATCGGGATCCATTTCCTTTAATAATTGTTCAGTGAAAATCTGTGGAATTTTCCTCAAAAGAACATAATGGGTTGTTCGAATGAAAAATTGATATGCTGAATAATTATAAAAATACTTTTGATTTTTTTTAATAAAAAGTATATTTTATAAATAAAACCTTTTTTTTTCTTTTAATACTTCTAACATGATAAATTCTTGAATCGTGCGAGGGGGAATAAAAAGGCCTTTAGATGGAATAAAAAGTTTTTTTCGTCGGGGTGAAACGAGTGCTAGATGTAAATGGGTCAAGTCGCACTTTCCTTCGACTCGTTGCATTAAAGTTGTTACTCGCTGAATATTCATCATTTGAAGGGGGAGCGGCTTTATCTTTACCATTATTTCTCTTCATTCGATATTCTCAACTTCTTGCATGTGTGATTTTGATATTTTATTCATAACCTGCCAGTTCTCCTTTTATTTTAAACAAATAAAAAGACACTTGACTGCTTTCGGTGTTTTCCATTGTTCAATACACCTGCGAAATTGTTTACATCGGTCCGGTCCGCCTCGATACCAATTTATTTCGATACTTTTTGCTTTTTTTTTATAAAATTAAAAAGAGCAAGTGTTTTCGTATACACCATGTACACTGTACTTAAATTTAAATTATATTTTAATAAATTAACAATTTGTTTTATTAGTATTTTACATAATGTTATTATTGTAACATGGTAACATCGCTTAGAACGATGATTCATAAAAGTGATTTGTGTTTTCAAAGTTTTACTTGATTCTTGTTTTCGCAGAAATAATTCGTCCGGAGGTCGAAAGTTCTTTCGAAAAAAAAGCTTATGTTACGACCGCCAAGGCGTCGGTCGACTTGCTTTTGGAGACGGTGTTGTAAATTGTCGGACCTTTTTCATCGTAACTTTTAAAAGAAAATTTAGAAAGCAACTAGCAAGATTAGGCCTGAAATGCTGAAAATCTATAGTAGCGAGAAAACTGCAATCAGTGAAAACAGCTCGCTAGGGATTTTCGTAGGTACATGTCGTCAAGAATAAATTATTAGTTACAATTCAATTGATTCATAAATGATTTTCTTGAGTTTTGGTGCATTTTCTTTCAAACCATCATAATTAAATATTTTTTGCTAAAACTGATGAATTTCTGATGTTGTTCAATTTTATTTACATTAAAATAAGTATGTTGTAACTAACAAAAGAATAAAAATATACAGGGTGACTGGCGATAAGTGACCAAAATTTCAAAGGGTGTTTCTATTCACTATATGCAACAAAAAACTTTTTACAAACCCCTGTCCAAATCTCAACGGTAAAGAAGTAATTTCAGGTTTAGGGTATTTTTTAATTTTTCGACTTAGGTTCACTAAATTGCTTATAAACTTTAGAATTACTTAGTGTATCAAAATCTGGTTTGTGCCCCCTGATAGAACATTAAATTTGCTGTTAAAATGGAAACCTATTTACATTGCAGAATTGTTGAAAAAAAATCGACTCACTGCTGGTAGTCATTTCGTTCCAAACTTTGCACCCTCGTAAAAGAGTAAAAGAACCAGTTTTCCGTGCGATTTGCTGGAACATCTCAATGTGGAGAACGAGCTTGGTGTTCTCCCATTGGAGCAGTAGCATTACCGTTGCAGTAACCGTAAATGAAATGCATATCAGCAAGACGTGCATTAGGAAACAAGGACATAATTTAAATCATCAACCTGAAGAAGTTGTCAGCTGATAACATAAAGCAAACTGATTGAATTGAACATTAAAGAACTTACACGAAACTCAAGAGCCAGACGGATTTTCCTGAAAAAATTGAACGTGCCTCCCTTCATCGACACCAGTTTGTTTCAACAAAATACAAAAGTTTTGGGCCTGACAGACTTGCAATCCAAAAAGTTGGGTGTACCGCTGGAAGGTAATTGAATGAAGAACTTTTGAGGAAATTTGCAAAGCTCCAAGAGTTTATAGTTGTTAAAAATTTCCAATCCTACATTTAAAAAAAATTCAAATTTCAACATTTTTGTTTTTCCTGGATTTTTCCTGCAGAATATTATTTCATCAATTCTTCAATGGAAATTGGTTTCCCTACAGCAAATATAACGTTCTGCCTGGTGACACAAACCAGATTTTTCTACAATCAGTAAATCTGAAGTTTATAAGCAATTTAGTGGACCAAAGTCGAAAAATTAAAACCACCCAAAACCTGAAATTACCTCTTTACCCTTGAGATTTGAACAGGGGTTTATAGGAAGTTTTTTGTTCCATACAGTGAATAGAAAGACCTGAACTTTTCGACACTTATCGCCAGTCACCCCATATTGTTTTTTCCTAATCTTCTTTTCAGTAATAACACTTCATACAAGAGTGAAATATCACATAATTATGTTCAATAATAT